GGCTTGAAGAAAAGAGGAAGAATATACTGGCTCATGTCATGGAAAAAATCCAGAGATATATGTATTTGTCTTTGAGCACAGCATGATTCCAGCCTCACATGTGGGATCCTCCTCAGCTCTGCTCCCTCTAAACTTGATCTGTTTTGAAACTCCACGTGGTACCCAGATGGCTGTGGCTACCTCACGCCTCATAATAGCTGGAAGAGATCACAATAGAATTGACCCTACAAATGTCTCAACACATCACCTTGGTCCCAAATGAATGATCTGCCCCATCCCCGAACCTTTCCCTCTGGCCAAAGGGATGGGATATTCTCACTGACCAAACCATCCAAACTATGTGACTGGAAAAGGGTGGTTTCTCAAAGGAGATGCAAGCCCACAGAAGAAGGGACAAGGACAGGATAAAACAGACCAATGCTATGCTACATTAGAAAAAACAAAGTTTATTTCTTCATCTTGCCCCTGCAATGTCATTAATTCTTGCACTCAATTCAAAATTCAACCCCTATGCCTACCGCTGAATTGGAAACCAATTAACACTAGTAATGACAGTTGTAATTCTGGTAACAGTAAGAGTAGTAACAGCTAGTATTTACAAGCGCATACTTTAAATCTAGATACTCTGTTAAGCACTTTACATACATTATCTCTCTAACTTCAATTTATAGATGAGGAAACTGAAACTCAATGAGGTTAAGTATAACTTGTCTTAGATGACATACTAGTAAGGAGTATAACCAGAACTCAAACCAAGATCCAACTCAGAAACCATATTCTTAACCCAAACACAAAATGACCTCTCAATAATGCTCTTACGTGTATCCCTGACCTACCCCTACTCCCAATGCATTGAACTCCCTTTTGACAATACATGCCCTGAACCTTAACACATTGCTACTACCCTACTGCTACTAAAAGCAGCTAGAACTACCTTTAGCCGGGTGTGATTCTCTTTGATTCAAGAAACATAGCACCTTACACTTGAAAGGTGTTTAACAAAGCTTGAAACAACAGATGCGAAGTTCGTTGGTAGCAAGAAGCAGGCCCTTATATCACCCAGAACAACCAAAGGAAGAAGCTGACTTCATCACTCATCTGGACAACAGCAGCAACAGGATTTCTATTACTCACTAGAAATGGTCTCATTCAAGAAAAATCCCATGTACTTCCGCACTATAAATGTGCCAACAGACAGCTCAGTAGGAAACATTTCCAAACAGCAGAATTGTTAATCAGAACATGACAGTCTGCACAGATGAATAGAAGAATAATTTATATACAGCATCGAAATGAGCAAATTTACAGATCCTGTTGCAATGTAAGAAGTATTTTAATTAGTAACCTTTAATTTTCTAGGTAAAGAAGTTCTTTATTATAATACTTAAAAAAAGAAGCCAACTAAGATTACTTTTTTGTTATTATAAAGTCAGAAAAAGATCAATCTTCTTTAAAAGAAAGTAAACTTACTAAGTCAACTTACTAAATTCATCCCCATCCTTGTGAGATTTAATTTAAAAAAAATCAAATTATAGGAAATGTTCATAACTATTCTTTTGTTGACATATGAGTTTGAAGTGAAATGGATATTATGTTAACGTTGGGTAAAGCACTCAATACTAGGAATTAAAGGTAATGCTGGAAGGCAAAATTATCGTTAAGCCCATCTAGAGTGCCCAAAATATTTGTGTTCTTCACTATCTCAAAAACTAAGAGAAAAACTTTCATTCATTTTTGTTAACACCTACAGTATGCTAAACATCTTTCCTCTCTTTCTAAAGATAAAGTATAATTAGATGTCAAGTGACAGATCACTTGTACTTTTTAATGTCATGCATTCCTTTAGTTTTCCCAGGATTTGGCTAATTTCCAAAAGAAAACCTATCCATATCAAAGCCTATGATTTAGGGTAGAGTTCCTGAACCCAGAACCAAGGGAGAACTAAGATAAAGATTAGGGAGCAGACTACACCACAGGGAAGGGAGGGAGGGTTAGCTCAAAACTGACTACATGGCTAGAGACATGAATCGGTCAAACATTTGTAAAGGTAGAGTTCTTAATTTCAACCAGCATTATACTGCAACTCATGCAGTATCCTAAATCTTTCCTCTCTTTCATAAAAAAAAAAAAAAATGCAATTAGATTCCAAGTCACAGATCACTTGTACTTTTTAATCTCATATTGTCCCTTGGTTTTCTCCCATGAGTTCATCCTTCTCCCTGAGCATTCACATAGCAGCAAGACCCAAACATAGACAGTAGCCAAGAAAAACAAAGGGCTAAGAGGTCAGAAGACCTGATACAGATCCAGATCCTGCTCTTTCCCCAACCAAGGAAACCTTTAAATTGCTGTTAAACCTCCATCTCTTGGTTTCCTTATTTGGAATATTTGCTTGCTTCCTTCCTAAGACTATCATGAGAATCAGATGAGGTCTAGATATGAAGCACACTCAAAGTTTCAAAATGCTATAAAAACTTTAGATACTGTTATTACAATTAATATATTCCTAGGCAAAAAGGTGTCAAATATATATGAATCCTAGATTCACTATTTATATGAATTGAGGCAGACAGGGGAGCATACATATAAGGATATTTTCTTTTTAGGTTAATCGAAAATTTAATTAAATCCTAAGGAATGAAGAAAAATAAACTAACCTGTCTACATCCTGTTAAAATTTATCATCACAATTCCAGAAATTATTTGGTCTCTAACACCTTATTCACATTTTTTAAACTTAAAAATTAAAATATCGATGATAATGATAGCTACCTGGCAGGATTGATACGAAGATTGAGCCAGTATGTACAAAACACTGGAACCTGCTATGTGAATGTTGCACAATGGTAGCAGTGAGAATCAGTCAGATCTGGGTTCAAACCATTGTTCCAATCTCTACTACATATGTAATTTGAACAGAACTTGCATGTCAGAGGGCAGGTATGAGGATTCGTGTGTGTGTGTGTGTGTGTGTGTGTGTGTGTGTGTGTGTGTACACATATATAAAGATTGAAAAGATAGAAGTTATCTCCAAAGTTTTCATTGAGTGATAGTATTGATGTTTTTGCTTAGAGTAATAATGTTTAATAGTAGTAGCCCTGGTAAATTATGGCCCAGCATCCTAAATTCTTTAACTTTCACTGGTTTATTTAAGTCAAATGTAGTTTGGACACTGCACCAGTCTTGGCAGCAAAAATGTATGATTTTAAAGTGGTAAGTACAGGATCAAGTTCTCAATGACATTCTCAAGTTCAACTCTGCTTCAAATTTATCACTTTCAAAATATTTTAAGTAGCCATAAATACATTTACCCTTGAGAAGCACACAGTTTACTCCTTTATAATTAACTCTTTAATTTCTCAGCTCCTACAAAGCTTCCATTATGGAAGCACATAGTGGCATTCCACTAGAACAAGGCCATGTATTTCCAAAGAATTTAGATGATGTCCTAATCTTTGTCCACACCATTTCTTGAAAATATGAATGAAAAGTGAAGAGCTCCTTAAAAAACTTTAAAAAAACCTAGACTTTTTTTTTTCATTTTTAATTTCCCTAATTCATTTTCATTTTTCATTTCCCCAACAGACAGTGAAAAGAAAAGAAAAATCAAAGAAGACTTTTTAAAAGTAGGGGGAAGGGTCAAATAATAAAGGAAACCTGTTTTTAGGCTATTAAGACTTTTTTTTAGGGCCAAAAACTTAAAGGACTATCCACCTTACCTGGGATTCTAGTTGATTCCTCTTTGTCTTCAAGGCTTCACATCATGGCCTTAGACAAATGTGCTACCAATCTCTCCACCGGAAGGATTGGTTTTCATTTGATTGGTTACCATGCTATCCTCCATCACATTTTTGGACCTCAAAAGAGTTAAATCACAGCTTGCCAAAGGAAAAAGGAATCTTAGAAACCATAGTCTTACACCCATTTCATTTTGTATAGGCTTTGAGGCTGACAGTCTGATGAGTGTGACTTCCAGAAGATGACCAAGTGACTCTGAGTCAAGAAGCCAAGGCTTCTCTCTTCCTGGGCAGGATGGCTTCCCTGTACTTGTATCAGATTTCAGCATCAAATTTCTTATGAGTCTGTTTCAAGTTTGTGCTATTTATTCCCATGGTCAAGCAAACCAATCCATTGCTTGGTTTTCATTTCATAACCAAAATATTACATCTTAGGAACAAAATGAAGTGTCACTGTCAAAGAGCCTTCTGATGAAATACTAGCACCTGAATTATAAGAGCAAGGGCAAACTTCTCAGTTCCATTTAGTTATCTCCCTTTCTATTTGTTTATTTTCATAATACAATTATGTCAGCAGGAGCAAAAATAAAGTCACCTTAATTATGGCTCTTTATGGCTTCTGACATGTCAAAGTTTAACTTTATGTCCAATCACTTTTAAATTAATATCCATAACTTTTGAAACAATAATCTCTCACCTACTACATACAAGCGTTTAGTATACATACAGATAATACCAAACATTGTAACAATTTACATGTGACAAACATCACTGAAGTCCAACAATCTAACATGTATACACTGAAATCCAAACAATAGAATTACTTGACAATCTCAAACATTTCGGATTCATGTCTCCCCCAACATTTGCCCAAGGGTCAAAATAGGGAGAGGGACAGCAGAACATTCTCAACCTCCAAAACTTAGGTGCCTCTCAGGTATAGAAAAGACCAGAGGGGAAAAAAAATACTGTTCCTACTATCTGTCGCATGTCAAAGAGTAATCCTGCCCTCTGAAATAGCCAACAGGTTACTTCTGGATAAAAGACTCTCCTTATACTGCTTTAAATGAAAAATAATTCTCATTTGGACAATGTTGTTATTTGCTTTTTTTTGCTAAGTCATTTACCTGCGAAGTTTAACTACCTAATGCACATACCTAGCCCACTTAAGTCACATGTCCTACTTCAACAAGAAATTACAAGTATTAGATAAAATGTTCCCCACTAAAAAAAAATAATACATAAAAAAAGAAATGTAATTACCTTTCCAAAGTCACGAACATCAAACAGGTCAAATGCTTCAAAGAGTTCACTCTTTCTCATTCCAAATGTCTCGCAACAGGCCGTGAGGAATGTCCTTATGTTCTTCAAACAGAGAAACTGAGGAATGGGAAATAGCTATTAGTATATAGTGAATCATTCTGAATGCTCTATATCCTCTATCTACCCAGAATGCTTTAAAAAAAAAAAAGTTGACAAGGAAAAAAGTCAATCAACTTTTGAGGTTGCTTTTCAATTAATCCTTCAGCAATATTTGAGTACCTATTTTCATAGGCACAGGTGGCACAGCTATGAAGAAGGTTGACAAAATTTCTTCCCTTGGGAACCTTACATTCTAGTAAGAGCAGACAGATTAAAAAAACAAAAAAACGAAAGAAAATTCAGCAACGAAAACAAAAAAGTAAATATTTTATTTTCATGTGATGGTAAGTGCAATGGAGAAAAAGCCAGGAAGAGGGACAGGATGCACTGATGGGGATGGGGTGGGGGGTGGGGGGGCATTTAAATGGATGGTTAGAGAAGGTATCAGTGGGAAGAGGGCAAATAAGCAGAGATTTGAAAGTGGTGAAGGAGCAAGCCACGCAGAAGTACAGGACAGGTCATTCCAGTATCATTCCATGCTAAAGCCCTGAGGCAAAAGTGTCTGATGTATGTCTAAGGAAGGGACCAGTGTGGCTGGAGCAGAGTGGGTGACAGGGAGAAAGGTAGGAGATGAGCTAGAAAGGTAATGGGGTCAGATGATGAAAGGAACTTGTTGGACCAGCTTTTATGCTGACCAGGACAGAAGTCATTGGAGGGCTTGGGGCAGAGGAGAGATATGATCTGATGTTTTATTAGGGGTCTTTCAAGCTGTTGTTTTTAATATAGACTGAAAGGGGCTGGAGCAAAGATGGAGACATGAAAAGCAGATAGGAAGCTATTACAATAGCCAGGTAAGAGACAACTGTGAGAAGACCAGGTGTTTCATTTTGACTATGTTAAATTTGAGACACCCATTAGTCATCCAATGGGATGTGGAGCAGCAGGCAACTAGACAGACAAGTCTGTAGTCCGGGGTACAGGTATGTACTCCAGATATAAATGTGGGAGTCTTTAGAGTATACAGAAGATTTTTAACCATGATAATGCCAGATATGACTTCGGGAGAAAGCAGAAGAGGGGAGAGGACCTGGGACTGCAGTAATCCTATGAGATCAGGAAAAGAGCCCACCAAAAGGCTGAGCACAAGTGACTGGTGAGAAAGGGAAAACCAGAACAGGTTTTCCCTAACTCAAGTATAGAAAGTGTTTCTAGAACGAAGGACTGATAAACTGTTAGCTGCTGATAGTAAGATTTGACCAAGTGCTGTCCATGGAACCTGGCTGTGTGAAGGTCACAGGTACACCTTCACAAAAGCAGGTTCCATGTCGACTGGGGAGCTTGGAAAAGGTTTAAGAGACAATGGGAAGAGAGGAAGTGAAAACAGAATATAGAAGATAGACTCTTGAGTTTGCTGCAAAGGGGAAAGAGCATTGAGGATGTAGTCAGAGAAGTCAAGGAAGGGCTTTTTAAAAACAATGGAAGCTGTTACATGTTTTTGTTTTGATGAGAATAACTTGGTAGAGAGGGAAAAGTTGGTCATGCAAGAGAGAAGGAGAGTCACCCAGAATGAGGTCCTTGAGTAGGCAAAGGGGTGGGAGTGGGGACTCTGCTGCTCAACTGGAAAAGTCAACTTTGGAAAAGAACATGCACAGTTCATCAACACTAATAGGAAGAACAAGAGGGAAGGCAGATCTGTCGACAATTTTAAAATCAGAATTTACTTTCAGTATCCAAAAGACTCAGACCCACCAAAGTACACACATACACTGAAAGCAACTTACTTTTTAAAAATATTTTTATGTGTGCCATTGCAGCTCATAAGACTACTATCCTCCAATAAGCGAGAAACCTATTAGCTAATTCAAGCATTCCTTAAGCACTGTCAATGTTTTATTCTGTTGTTTTGTTTTTCATATCAGTTTTTTTACTTTACAGAAAGAACACTTTACTTCCTCTGTATTTGAAATATTCAGACTTTTCACAGGCTTAACTCAGATGCAGTTTGACAATTTACAGGAATCCTTCTCAGAGGCTTAAATATTTCAGGAGGGGTTAAAACCACAGGGGAAGCATCATCAACCCTTTGAAGCACAAAGGCAGAGGCCAATCAGCATATGGAGCTTCCACTTTCACTTTAAAAAATTCATAAGAGACCTTTACAACACAGCATCACTCCACGTGTAGCTCTTCCACATAGGATTGCTTATTTACAGATTAAAAGAGTCTTGCATTCTGCCAAGATAGACAATAATTACTCTCTTGGGGATTATGCAACTGCTCTCTTACAATATTTTTTACATAATTAAGTGCCCAACTCATAGCTCACCAAGGAGAAGCATAATTGCACATGCCAACCTCTGAAGATTTCTCACCAAACTCAGATGTCCCCCTGTGTGGGAAAAACTACAGTAGACTTCCACTCGTTTTCATTATTAACTCAGAAAAGCAATATTGTTTCTGAAACTTAAAAAAAAAAATGTAGTCATTATTGCATACATAATACACACAGATGTAAAAGTAGGTTCCCTTACTTCTGGAACCAACCTTAATCTTATTTGCCCCTTAACTAGTTCAGTTCTATTAAACTCCACAAATATTTAGCGGATTTGGATAAGGTCACTGGCATGCTCTCACTTTTCTAGGAAATCTTCAAATGTGGTCTTCCCTGTAGGTATCTTTTCAGTCAACAGTTTTTGAATGCCCACAACATTCCAGACACTGGAAATGCTGAAAATGAGCACACAAGGTTCTGCCCTCAAACTCCTCTATTAATCTTATCTGGAGATTTTCACAGCTATCCAAAGTTTGGCTAATAACACTAGGATCACACTTCTCATGTTCATGGGTGTTCAGCTCTATGCAGGCACAGGAACAAAGTTGAAGGATGGAGAAGTGGGCCTTAACACTATTGCAGAAGCCCTGGGACTGACAGCTTGCCTGACATTCCCAACACTTGGGCTTTGTTTTCATCATGCTGAACTTGTTCTTTTTCCAGTCAATTCTTTAAAATTTCAATCCAAAAGAAATGTTGAAAAAAATAGTACAATGAACATTCCATCTACTCAACTGGAACATACTGCCATATCTATGTTTTTCTATGCCAACACTTTATTTACTTATAAAACGTATCCTGCTGAAGCAGGTTACAGACATCGCAGCAGTTCACTCCTAAATAACTCAACACGCATTTCCCAGGAATAAAGAGAATTTTCCTACATACCTACAATACTATTACCACATCTGAGTAAATTAACAATTCTATATTATCTAATATCTTTTTCATATTCTAATTTCCTCAACTGCCCACACTATGTCTCTTTATGCTATCCCCACTCCAGTCTAGGATCTCATTAAAATTTACCTGTTGCATTTGGTTGTTTTATTTTTTGCAGTATCTTTTAATTGAGATATCCTGCTCTATTTTTAACACATTGACTTTTTGAAGATTCCAGACGAGTTGTCTTATAGAATGTCCCACATTTTGGATTTGTCTTACTACTTCCTCATGATATCATTAAACCTATCCCTCCATGTTGTGTATTTCCAGTGAACCAAAAGCTGAATCTAGATACAAATTAAACAGCTCTGGCAAAAATACTTCATACTGTGAACTTCTTATTTCATAACCTCTAAAGATACAAAAAGTTAAACAATTACTGTTGATGCTAAGTTTGATTGCTTGGTTAAGATGGTTTCTGCCACATCTATTGTAAAGGTAAATGTCCCCTTTTATATCTATAAAAATAGTACCAAATGATAATTTGGTACTATTCAGCTGTCCAATTTCCCAATGATTTTTCACCATGATTTACCATCCACTAATAACCCTTGCTTTGATTATTCCATTTGGGACTGCAAAATAGTGATTTTTTTCTAATTCCATCATTCCTTCCTTAATTATTAGCTGATATTCTTACCAAAAAAAAAAAAAAAAAAAAAAAAAAAAAAAAAAAAAAAAAAAAAAAAAAAACTTTTGCTGCCCTTCCTCCCAGACCCCTCCTCTTTGCTTGTATAATAATCAATAGTCATTTTTTTCTGATGTTCATATTGTCCCAAGTTTGTCCATTTTGGGGTTCCTTCAAACTTGTTCCAGTGTCCTTTTTAAAAGAACACCATTTTCTTCATTTTCTTATATCCAATTGCCCCAAATCTACATCATATATTCTTTGCTCCAGTTCTGGAGTTAGCCATTTCTCCAAGCAAATCCATTTCCACTTATATGGTAAATGCTATTTAGAAACCAAAGTCTGAGCACCAGGCTGCTCCCAGATTATGTGGGCCAATTTTAGCAAATAGACCAATAACTCCACCCTTTGCTTAAGCAATCTATCACTTACAACAGAGTTAATTTAGTAAGTCAGCCCTTATCTTACTCTGTTAAGATGAAATTTCAATTTATTTTAGATGACTGATGAACACATGACCTTGTTTCATGCTTAGAGATGTGACTGGGGTTTTAACACTATTATTTCAGTATAAGTGTTTTTCTCCCCAGTTTACAAATTCTTTCAGATTAGCAGCCATCTGATAGTCCTTGGTATCATCCGCAGTAGTTTAAAACATTCTGCCTTCAGAGATGGTTTATGATACACAAGGACAAAAACATCTCATTTTCTAATCAAACCGCATGTTTGATAAAAAATTATACAACTTTGTTAAATCATTTTATTTATATGAGATAACTTTAGGAGTGTTTAGAATTTAGGATTCAAATTTTAAAAATCAGAATTTTAAATAACTTCAGGATTTTTAAAATATTAAATGTATCCACACAAGATAGTTACCAAATTAAAGATACACACAAGTCTAAAAATCATTTTCTCACCTAACAAATGTTACTGAGGTACAGATTATATACGAGGCATCGTAAAATTTCACAAAACATACTTCCAGCTGGATACTGATTTTTTTTTTTTTTACTTATTAAACACATGTTAATGGAATGAAACTTCTAAGGACTAGGTACTAGAAAAAAGCAAGCATGACCCAAACTGCCTGCAGAAGACTTATCCTGGTCAGGCAGAGTTATCAGACCAGTGGATGCACAATTACACGGTATGTGGCCACTGCCATGAGGAAAGCATTCAAAGGTTCTTTGGGAGTCCTGGAGTATCAGAGACAGCTTTCTGGAATAAGTGACAGGTGAAAAGAGAACTGAAGGACGAGAGCCACAAAAACAGGAAGAATGGTTGATGTTCACAGAGGAGAAAGGAAGTCATCAGATTTGGGGTATAAGGGAATGCCAAATAAATGGCACAGCATGTGCATGAGCACAAGACAAGGCATGGACTGCTGGGGGCAGGGGAAGTGGTAGCGAATGGACACAACTCTCTGGAGGGCAGCAGTGAGAGTGAGGCTAGAGGGGGGAGCCTAGGTTTTCAAGGCATGCCGAAGGGATGTGGCTTTATCCTAGAAAACGTGGTGAGGTTCAAGGGTTTTTAACAGAAGAGCAGAACACTCAGCTTGCATTTCATGAGTACAGTAATCTCTGAGTGTTCACTATGTACCAAGCTCTATACTAATGTATGTCATTTAATCCTCATGACAACTCAGTCAAGAGGTTTTTTTTCTTTTATATATACTTTGTTTACTCAAGTTTATATAACTGCATTTGTCAAAGTAATAGAGTCATGAATCAAACAGATATTCTTGCTACAGAGCCCACATCCTTAACTATTGTATTACACTAGCTCCCTTTACAGTGTACAGA